GGAAATACAAGGAGGTGATTTTGTTATATGTGGAATACTGCTTGAAATCTCAAATTTGGCATTAGGGAGGTGGAAGTTATTCATCCATTTAATAACTTGATATTAATAAATTGTGGTCATTTATTTAATACATTCTAATAGAGATAATTCTCTTAACAAAAATTCAGTTAATATAAATTCTTTTTTCCTCATACGAAGTAGCTGGCTCTTGCTAGTTAAATTATATTATATTTTTCGATGTTTAGACTTGCTTTCTGTTATTATCTTCCCTGTTTTCATTTGTGTCCCGATAAAGGAGGGATGGATCTCCTCCCCAGAAAGCTCATAATTAATAATTCAATTCTTTGTATTTTTTATATTTTTTTACACAAAAAGAAAAAAATATTCCAAGTCATAAAATATTCCTCAAGCATAAAGAGAAAATTTTAAATCCCACAATCTCTGCCATCTCCACCACCCCGAACTGATTTAACATTCTTGATGTTATGGGGCAAAATGGAAGCAAATACTTACATGTGTAATGCCAACACAAGCTTTTAGACAGTATTAAAAATTCAAAGGTTTTTGGGGGATTTTAATACACAATGCCATCATACTTAGTACTGCAAACGCAAAATAGACAAAAATGACATCAAACTCAAACAGATGTATTTACACATACATATGTATACAAACAAGTTATATTATTGAGTTATTTGCATTCCTTTAAAGTCAAGGCTTGAAAATATCAAGCCATTGAATTAGTGAAATATGTTGACGAAACTGCGGTTTTCAAATATTGATTGAAGTCAAAATGCTTTCAAACTAAAATAATATCTGAACCTACTTAAATATACAATCATCGGTTCGACCCGTGATCAAAGCATCGGACCGGTAATGAGAAACTACTAACAAAACAGCATCTAACAAAACAGCATCCTAAAACCATATATTATTAAGAAGTAGGTACTTACCAAGCTACCACCAAAACCAATAAAGAAATTCTAAGACGAATATTTTGCTTTGTTATTTAATATGTCTGACGATAGGGTTGAACTGGGGGTCTTCTTAATGGTAGTCGGTTACACCATACCAGAAACATAAATTCCCAACAAAAATACTAAGAATGGTGTTACCAACTCATTACTTTAACTAATGCATGTCGCACGAAATGACTCTTTTTTTATATCCTCCACCATACATAGTAAGTTCGTTATTCCGTTTGTACCTCATCGAAATAATAATTTTAGACATAACAAGGAATATATATTCTCGATTAGCGTAAAACTCTAAGACGATTTAGCCCTGTCCGCCGTCCGTCCATAGTAAACACGCTACAGTCAAAACGAATAAATATAGGAAACTATTTCTTTACACGGATCAGTCTTTTGTCTGCAGGCAGATCAAGTTCGAAGATGGGCTATATCGATATATAGCCCCCATATAACCGTACCATCCGATATTCGGCATTTTGATGATTGTAGCCAAATTTTCAATGAAATTGTTTGAAAATCCGCAAAAGGAATTCCTCTGAGTACATTACCCCCTGGAAGAGTATTGTCTATATAGGTGCACGATATCGTATATCCCCCATATAACACTACATGCTTATATTCGGTATTCTGATGATTTTAGATACATTTTTCAATGCAATTGTCTGAAAAATCTTCTCGTGTGGATATTCAGGGACATTATTTACCAGAGTTGTTTCAAATTTCGTATTTAAAATTCGTAATGGGAACTACAGTCTATGACAGAAAATTGTCCATGCGGGTCCATATCTTCGAATAGGGCCAATATAGCATCGCTTCCCTATATTCGGTATTTTGCCAATTTTAGGTACAATATGCACCAAATTTTCATGTTTGGAGTTTCTAATAGGTACTACAGCCTGTGACAAGAAATTGCCTAATGATCTAATGTAAATATCCATATGCGGTCCGCTATTTCTGGTACCTTTCACATAAAAACTCAATATTTTCAAAAAATACACACATGTCTATATATATCTACAGGGTGAGATGAAAAAAACTGCCACCAATTTCAGACTGTTGTCATTTCTAAGCCACTCGTCAGACAGCTGTTAAAATTATTCCAGTGACAGCTCATTATATAGGTTACAAGAGCACAAAAGCATTCTGTTGACAATTTTCCAGAAAAAAAGTTTTTCGTGATGGAATTCAAGCGTGGTAGTGTGATTTCATTATATTTGGCTGGAAAATCACAAGTGGCTATCGTTAGAGCACACCAGCATATAAATGTGAATAAATCTTTTGTATCTCGTACCATTGGTCGTTACCGTGATACTGGTAGCGTAGCTCGATGTCAAGGAAGTGGACGGAAGAAAACAGCAACATCAGCAGAAATTGTTCGAAAAAAAAAGAAGGAACTTGGCCGAAACCCGCGTCGCAGTGGCCGAAAAATGGCTCGTGAGCTATACATATCGCAATATTCCATTCGGCAAATATTGAAAAATGAGCTCGGGGTAAAGCCATTGAAAATCCAAAAAGTGCAAGAACTTACACCGCAACAGAAAGAAAATATGCTCAAACGAGCTAAAGAGTTGCTTCGCTTGGCCGAAAGTGGTGAACTGGCGAATTTGGTTTTCTCCGATGAGAAACATTTGTTGTCCAGCAGTTTGTACACAAACAGAATAATCGTGTTTACTTGCCAAAGAGGTCAGCTGAAAATGTGCACCAGAACTCAAGCACAGGCCATGGTGATGGTGTGGGTTGCCGTAACAAACGATGGCCGCTTTCCGATCGTATTAATCGAACGTGGCATCAGAATAAATGCCGAATATTCTTGCGAAAATATTCTGAAAAGCCTTGGGCACGCAAACATTTTGGCCGCAGACCTTGGACATTCCAACAGGACTCAGTACCATCGCACTCAGCACGCGCCACCCAAGAATTATTACAAAATGAGGTTCCTCGCTTCATTTTCAGCACACAATGACCACCAAAATCTCTGGATACCAATCCGTTGGACTATTGTGTCTGGAGTATTTTGGAAAGCAAGGTTGACACTAAAAAATACCAAAGTGACGATCACCTCAAGCAAGCGCTTCGCCGGGAATGGGTCAAAATACCGCAGAGGAATATTCGGTCAGCGTGTGTCGGTTTCATTGGCCGTTTGAAGGCTATAAATCGTACCAAAGGTGACCAATTCGAACAAATCCAAACTTATTCTACAATTCGATGCTATTTCCGACATTTTTTGCTTTCATTTAATGAAATTAAAAAAAAAAATTAAAAATTTATGGCATTTGACTTTTTGCAGTTTTTTTTATCTCACCCGTATGATAGATGTACCAAAGGGGGTTTGAAAACTCGGCGTACGAAAAGTACAAAAATATACTACATTTCGTATTATGTGAACGGTAAAGGCTAAAAACTTGAAATTTAGAATGTGAATCAATGTAGGGAGGTAGTTTTTTAAGTGTGCATTTATGTATACGAAAAGTACTAAACAGTACTAAATTTGGTACCATTTGAATTTGGAATCCCATGATTGGGATATGGAGGCAGTTTTCGAAGTTTGTGCTTACAATAAGTACTTAATTTGGTAAAATTTAAATTAGAAAGAGGATTACTATTGCATTGTAGGACTTAGGTAGTTTTGGACATCCGTATTCATGTCAACTAAATGATACTACATTTGGTACAATTTAAATTTTGCGTGAACCGGTAGAGTTGGAATCCTGAAATTTAGAAATTGCATTCTAGTACTGAGTAATGAAGGTAGTTTTAGAAATTAGTACTTATGTGTACTAAATGATACTAAATTTGGGACAATTTAAATTTCCAAGAGTGCTGGAATCCTGCAATTTAGGAATAAGATTACTATTGCATTGTAGGACTAAGGTACGGAAATGGGTACTTATGTGATGTTTTGTGTGGTACGATGCTATTGTACTTAAGTGTACTAAATGATACAGAATTTGGTACAATTTCGATTTGGGTGAACCAATAGAGCTGGTATTCTGAAAATTGGAAAGAAGATTAGGTCGGAGTTTGGGTTTGGGATATCCAGATAGTTTTGGAAATTTCGAATGAGGATTACTGTTTGAGTGTAGAATTGGGGTATTTAGGGAGTTTTGGAAAAGTGTACAATATGGTACTAAATTTGGTACAATTTGTATTTGGATAAAATTTGGAGTTGGGATTACCGTGTGAGTGTAGGATTATGATATGTTGAAAGGTTTTTTTAGGGACAAAAGGTACACATTTTCCTAATAGTCTTTCAAAAATTGGGAAGACTTGAATAATATATTAAGTTTTGTGCATTTTCAATACTAAAAAGGCCTAACACGAACTGTTGGAACTGCAAAAGTTTTAAAGTGGAATTTTCGCTGACGAAGTAGCGGAGACTTCGTAATAAAATAATATTGCACAGAATTTTCCTTTCGTCCAAAGTTCATTTTGGCCGCATAAATTTATTGATGGTATAAAAACCACACGAATCTGTTGGATTTTCAAAACGGAAGCCAGTTAGATCTTAGTCGGTTTTGCTGACATCTTTATTCCTTCAGCCAATTGTACCCAACGTCCCATCTTCTAACTTTATAAAATTGTTGTATTTCGAAGTTTTTATTTTCAGTTTGTAAAAGGTAAAAACCGATGTATTTCATTTTATAACCTGACCTATGTTTGATACAAATATTTCATGGTGAGGACGATTATTGTTCATTAATTTTTCAATGGGTTTATCTTTGGCTATAACTCATCAATATACAAATCCATCAAAATGCATATTTTAACACACAGCATAAATTGCTGGAATATATTAAGCCTTATCGCGATGAAAATAAAGGTTAGGGTCGGCTATCCCTACTCAATCCTTTTTGGCGCATAGCAAATAGAGTTGAAACATAACATAACCTACCCTGAATATAGTATTCGCCTACGATAGTACTTAATTTTTCATAAAAAAAGTAAGAAGGAAATTTTTTAAGACGTATTTTTTTTTCATTTTAATAAAGTGTATTTTGTCTTAAATATTTTTCAAATAAAAATTTAAAATAAAAAGTTAAAATTATCACAGAGATTTCCAAATAACAATTTTTCTTAAATCACAATCTAATAAACTAACGTAGCATTCACATTATCCAGCTGATGTTCAATTTCCTTAGTACTGCCCCCTGCATTACCCTTCTTAACTTTAATGTCACACCGGAAGCATGTCAAAAGCTCTGAATCTTGATTTTCAATATAAATTTCCACAGTGACACTGATTTCCGGATAATGGCTGGCAATGGGAAACAGGAACAAATAGGTGACATCTTCGGTGGGATAGAGGGGACAATAGGCGCCATACAGGAGATTGGGGCAAACATTGCGTACCTCTTCAGGCAACTCATAGGGTACAGTCAAACCCATTGTTTTGGCTTTAACCAAGGTAGTGGCTTTTGTGACCGATTTGTCTGGAGGCAAAGAAAACGAATTTTATTAATTCCCGGATTGGGCCATTAGTTTTTACTCGATTTAACTTACATGTCACAAAATGTATCTCCATATCGACACTGGTGCCTTTCACAATATCACAAGGTGGCACCTCACATCCTTTTACGCGCACTTCCAAGGGAAAAGGTTTGTCACCGTCACCTTATGTTTTAGGGGAACAAATATAACGTTAGCTTATAAAATTTATTATTTAAAATTCACTTTTTTCTTACATCGCTTAACATCAGTGGCAAGGCTGGAAGACAACAGGCCACATAATAACAACACCACAAAACGAAACATTTTTTGAAGTTTTAAATTTATTTCTAATTTAAATATAGCAGAAATATTCAACAGTTATGCCCTGCTGGCTTCTGAACTCAGTGTGATTAGGAACGCCCCTTAGTTTCGAGATTTTATAGGTCTTTCAAACAAAAACTTCGTTCGATTATCTTATCATAATGCTCGTTCTTTGCGAAAATATATCAAGATCGTGAAAATTGTGTACAGGGTTGCCAACATATTTTTTTTTTGGGTGTTATCCCATAATTACACTAAGTGACAAATTTCAATTTATTCGATAACAATAGGGAAAATCTAAAAAATTATTAAAGTAGAGTTAAAATTGGAAAACAGGTGTATCGGAGTTTTGAAAGTTTAAATAGCAAAGCAACCTTATAGGAGGGACAATTCCACAATTTTTTTTTTTTTTTTTTTTTTTTTGTTGGAATTTCCCTTGCCCTTGAAATCCGCTGATTTTAGGGATATAGTGTCTTCAGCAATATTACTGATAACAATGCAAGGTCCTTTTTCTCGTTGGAAACTTTAACTCGCTTGAGTTAACAAAAGGGTGCTTTTTAGTCCTTTTTCCCAAATTTTTTTTTAAATTCTCTTTGAACTGGGTTGTAGCAAGTAAAAATATTCCACAAAACTATTCTTCAAACTGCAAAAAACTCAATAATTTTTACATTTTTTTAAATTTTGTTGAATGAAAGCAAACAAGTAAAACAAATTAATTTCGGCTGAACTTTTAATACCCTCCACGTTAGGGTAAAGGAATCATTTTTATATAAAAGTATCTGAATTAAGGCGTGCTCCAGTGGGTGAGGCCGTTATATGGGCCATACCAAAACGGGAACCTCTACAGATAATTTTATACTTCAAGGATTGTCATCTATCAAACCTTCTAAAATACCAAAATTGGAACAATTTTGTGGGTAAAGGTGACTAGGCTTATCAAAATACCAATTATCGGTGGGTATCGGTTTATGTGCGCTATAGGAAAACATGAACCTAAATATTCAACGTTTTGTCACCGGAGCTAGAACCCATTATGACCAACAAATATTAATTTCTAGACAAATCCGAGAAAAAATGTGACAAAAACCATCAAAATACCGAATATCGGGAGGTACCGTTATATGGGGGCTATACCAAAGTGCGGATCTACACATACAATGTTTCGCCACACGAACTAGGACCAATTATGACCTAAAAATACCATTTTTAGACAAATTAGTAAAAAATGAGACAAAAACCATGAAAATACCGAATATCGGGAGGTACCGTAAGACTAAGGCTATACCAAATCGTGGTATACATACGATGTTTCGCCACGAGAACCCATTATGACCAACAAATACCAATTTTTAGACAAATTCGTGAAAAAATGAGGCAAAAACCATCAAAATACCGAATATCGGGAGGTACCGTTTTATGGGGAGCTTTACCAAATCGTGAACATATACATACGATGTTTCGCCACCGGAGCTTGAACCCGTTATGACCCACAAATACTAATTTGTAGACACATCCGTGAAAAAATGGAGCAAAAATTAACAAAATACCGGATATTGAGAGCTACCGTTATATGGGGGCTATACCAAAACGTGGGTCTATACAAACAATGTTTCGCCACACGAACTAGGACCCATTATGACCAACAAATACCAATTTTTAGAGAAATCCGTGAAAGAATGTCAACAAAAGTCAACAAAATACCGAATATCGAAAGGTACCGTTATATGGGGACTATACCAAAACGTGGGCCTATACATACAATATTTCGACATTGGCCCATTATGGCCAACAAATACCAATTTTTAGACAAATCCTGGGGACTATACCAAAACGTGGACCGATATATCTCATATCAACCATCCTAGACACAATACAAATTGTTCTGCCAAATGTTGATGCTCCACGTCAAATAATGTGGGCTGTATTGTGAATTCAACAAACAGAGGGACAGACAGACGGACGGACAGATGGACATCGATAAATCGACTTAGAATTTTATGCCGATCATGAATATATATATATATATATATATATATATATATATATATATATATATATATATATATATATATATATATATATATATATATATATATATATATATATATATATATATATATATATATATATATATATCCTAAATATTCGTCGTAGACCGCATAAAGTATATATATATATATATATATATATATATATATATATATATATATATATATATATATATACTTTATGCGGTCTACGACGAATATTTAGGAAAGTTAATAAACTACCTTTCCAAGGTGTAGGATATAACAATGTCGGAAATAGCATCAAATTTTAGAATAAGTTTAGATTTGTTCGAATTGGTCACCTTTGGCACGAATTATGGCGGTTACACGCTGCCCGAATGTTGCTCTGCGGTATTTTGATCCATTCCTGCGAAGCGGACGCTAGAGGTGATCGACTCTTTGGTATTTTTTTAATGCCAACCTTGCCTTTTAAAATACTTCAGACACAATAGTCCAACGGATTGGTATCCGGAGATTTTGATGGCCATTGTGCGCTGGAAATGAAACGAGAAACCTCATTTTGTAACCGTTCTTGGGTGGCGCGTGCTGAGTGTGATGGTGGTGAGTCCTTTTGGAATGTCCAAGGTTTGCGGCCAAAATGTTTGCGTGCCCAAGGCCTGCAGAATATTTTAGCGATAACATTCGGCATCTATTCTGATGCTACGGTCGATTAATACGAGCGGAGAGCGACCATCGCCTGTTATGGCGGCCCATACCATCACCGTGGCCGGCGCTTAAATTCTGGTGGCCAACCGAAGGTGCACATTTCCAGCTAAGCTCTTTGGCAAGTAAACACGATCATTTTGTTTGTTTACAAACTGCTGGACAACGAATGTTTTATCATCGGAGAAAAGCAAATTCGGCAGTTCACCACTTTCGGTCAAGCGAAGCAACTCTTTAACTCTTTTGAGTCTATTTTCTTTCTGTTGCGGTGTAAGTTCTTGCACTTTTTGGAATTTCAATGGCTTTACCCCGAGCTCATTTTTCAATATATGCCGAATGAAATATTGCGATATGTTCAGCTCACGGGCCATTTTTCGGCCCTAGAGTCTCTGGCGTTAGCCACTTGTGCTTTTTCTGCCAAATATAAAGAAATCACACTATCACGCTTGAGTTCCACCACGAATAATTTTTTTTTTTTCTGGTAACATTTAATTTTAACAGCTGTCGGACGAGTGGCTTTGCAGTTTTTTCATCTCACCCTATATAGCCTCTGTAGTCATACGGCTGAGGTTATAAAAACACATTTTACGGTTATCGCCGCATTGTATACGAGTTTATGAAAAAATCTCCTGCAAAGCGTCACTTTAGAGGGATGACGTCAAGAACAAAAATATTCTTCCTCAACTTTCACTATAAGTAATTAATGGTATCTATCACTATAAGTATCTTATATATATCAAGAAAATATTTACGTAAATTTGGCAAAAAAGCCAAAATATTTCCTAATTTTTACTATCAATTTTTCCTCGGCCTTTTTTCGTGTTGACGACTGAAATTAACATAAATATTCCTTGTTTGGTGCTTATATTCCATTTGGTTTTTAGCAATCCGAAGGTATATATATATATTTAGAACCAAATCCTTCAATGTTGAAAATATCATCTCGTGTATATAGTCACACTCAAAGGTACTTATGTAGACAAACAGACAACCTTGAACACATGTGTGACATATCACAGGATATGCGTTTCTGCTTCATTGAATATTTGCACATCTTTCAGCAACAGTATGGATATCCTTTGGTAAATACAACACACACACACTGGATAACAACCACCCCTTTGTTGGCGCTAGTCCTTTGGCATATTAGTTATGTTATTTCCCCTGTGGATTACACATTTTGTATAGGTTGCCTGTGACACAATACATCAAAAGAAAGGGAGTTTTGTATACGTGTGTGTGGTTGTTTGCTTTTTTGTCCTTTCGCATGTAAAGGGATTTGTGTCGGAAATTGATGTTCATTTATGATAACGCATTTTGGTAAATCTTATTTTCTAAAATCTTATCGGTGTTTCAATAGAAATCGATAATGATTTTATAATTTCATTGTTTAACGAATGGATTTTCGTTTAAAGTTTTTTTTTTTGAAAAACCGTTGATAGTTTTAGGGTTGAGAATTGGCAATGAAAAAAATAGATATAGTGCTTTATGGACGTTTATTTTATAACCTCAGGCTCATTTTGGTATGGCCATGTGGCTCATTGAAATAACAGTTTTAGACCTTAACGGAAAAAGTCCTTTCCCTTGGTGTGTCCTACCAAATTTAGATCGAGTTGGAAGGTAGACATTAAAGGTTAATATATTCTGGATCAACGTAAAATTCTAAGACCATATTTTTGTATACATCCATAGTTTACCAGTAGACAGGTTAAGTTCCTAAATGGGCCATGTCGGTCGTATAGGCGTCATATAACGGTATCTCCCTATATTCGGTATTTTCATGATTTTAGCGAAATTATTTACCGAAATTATTTAAAATTCCGTATTTGAAGTTGGTAATGTGTACTACAACCTATGGCAAAAAATTTCGTATGCAGGTCCAAGTCTTCGAGTAGCCCCCATATAACGGTACCTCCCGATGGTCGGTATTTTTTACGATTTCAGCAACATTATTCGGCGGAATCGTTTCAAATTTCGTCTTGAAAAATCTTAATTGGTACTACAACTTATGAAAAAAATCTATATCCAAATCTGAACCGATCTCGATAAAATTTAGCAAAAGTATTTTTGAGTTGTATTTGATATATTTTTCCGCATATCGTTATTATGGAGTGCATATTACGACTGTGGAGGAGACATGTAACAAATCGGGTGAAGAATATATATATGGGAGGTATAGTTATATCTCAACCGAATTCAAATTTTACACACTTGTTTCTAGGCTCAATTTCGTTATATATGTCAAGTTCCTTCTTATTCGGGCTGATATTACACGTTTGGTGCACAATAAAAGGAAAATCGGACGAAGATATATATGGGAGCTATATCTAAATGTTGACGGATTATTTCCAATTTCAATAGGCTTTGTCCTTGGACTAAATAAAATATTTG